AACAAAAAAACACCCCAAAAAAACAGAACCAAAACAAAAGAAAACCCCCATAAAACAAAACAAAAAACCAAAAAACCCAAAAAACCACACCCACAAAAAACCAAACCAACCAAACAAACCAAACCCAAAACCCAAATAAAACAACAACAACAAAAAAAAATCCACCCCCAAACAAAAATAACTTGATCCCGAGTTCCTCTCCCTTCCCCACCTGTAGCCAAGCAGGGAAGCACCTTTGGACATTCACGTGATCCCACAGACATGTTCCCTACAGAGCAGACATGTTATTTCTGCACCTCACCTGGATGTGCCTGTGACACCTAATTAGGAGGGACATCCCTTTGCTTTAAAACAAAAATAATTACAAAATCAATAGTMACAATCACAATTCATTTAAGTCCAACTCGTTTTTAAAAAGGGAGAAGGGAGGACTGAAGTTTTCCAGGCCAAGGAACTTGCCAGATACAGCATCCCCCTATCCCTGCCTCCAGCAGCAGTGAGATAAGCCCCATTTGTGCAGCGTTCACTCTTGACCTGAGGTCAGCAGAGCCAAGGAGGTGCTGAGGGGACACAGCTGCCCCTCCAGCTCCTCCTCAGACAGCTGGCAGCTCCAGAGGAAAGGGAAACTGAGGTGGATGAGGGTTCAAGTTATTTCTTTCCCATCTCTTTTCCTCTCCAAGACTGAAAGGAGACTTCTGGGTCTGCAAGCCCAGTCTGTGCTTACCAGTGTCCTTAAGAATGACAATTTAAAACCAAAAACTGGGAAATTAAAAAGAGAGAGAGAGAGATGCATAATTAAGTACTGTCCATGGAAGGAGCAGGAGGGGGCAGGTTCCAGATGGAGGCAGAGAAGGGATTCTCTCCCTGCCCACGTTTGCCCATCTGGAGCCCAGGTCCCTTCGCGTCCCCGCTTTGTGCTGTTGCTGTGACATCGATCGACACGGATGGCGAACACGGGGATGAATCCAGCGCTGCAGAGGGCGGGAGGGCACACACAGCCACTGCAGGGCTAGGCCCGGTGCTTGGGGAGCATGTCCAGCAGGAATTCCGCGATGCCGATGAAGTAGACGACTTGTGCAATGCCGAAGAGAGGAGCGATGACCAGGGCTCGGCAGTAGGCCCCTTTGAAGAAGGCCGTGGGCCCTTCCCTCTGCCAGATCTTCCTGGGGAGGAACAGCACAGATAGGTGAGTGTCCATCCCAGCCCTCCACCGTGCCAGGAGAGCCTCTGGCCATGCCTGGCTTTCTGCCTCCCTCCAGAGATTAAACCCAGGCGAGCGCTGTCATCTGGCACAGCCTCCACTAYACATTGCCCACCATTCCCCAAGGGCTCTGCACATGGCCATGCACAAACTTGCCCCATCCCTACATCTGGAGAGAAGCAGGAGTGTCTGCCTGTGCCTGACAGCACAGCTAAAACAACCCCACGCTTGCATCAAGCGGGTCCCCTGCTCAAAGCTCCATCCCAGCATGACACAGAGCCAGATGGCAACAGATTCTGGCTACCACAGAAATACAAAAGCAAAGAAAGCCCCTTCATGATYTGAAGCAGCCAGACCATGGTTTAGCAAAGGATTAGAGGACAATGCAGCTGGGGATTGCCCACTCTAACAGTGCTCCTGCAAAGCAGTCCCAGGAGGGATATGAGACTCAACACTATAATTGGGGCCTTGGCACAGACTACTACAGCATTGCCTCCCTTTGCAGAARTAAAATCTCAGTGTTATGACCGTTAGGGTTTAGACAGAAGTATTTAAATATAAATGCCATATTTTCCTTGCTCAATATGAGAATAAGTTCTCTTTTATAAAACTATGTATATATATACATCTGCTCATGTATCCAGACATATCTCTAGACAGAGAGATTGATAAAAGCACAGGTTCAGAAGGAACCTGAAGCGAAGCTGTTGGTTGGGGCTGGAAGCTGTCCTGCTTGCCTGGCAGCAGACAGCACRAGATGCCAGACACCTGATGTGGTGGCCTCTGTCACCAGGAGCCTTACTTGGTGCAGTCCAGGATCCCCGAGTAGGTGTCCTCATTCACTCCTCTCTGCAAGGACTGCAGCCGTGTTTTGATCACTATGGAGGCAAAGAGAGGGGAGGCACTGGTGAGCACTGGAAGCATGGCAGGCAAGAACCACCCTGAGAGCAATGTCTTTGAAACAGTCAAAATGAAATTACCAAGAACACAGACCATTTTCATACATTTACCAGGGAAAAAACAAACATTCCTTTACAAATGGATAAAAGAAACACAAAGCCACCCAAACCCCAACCCTCCCCGCCCTCACTGTGATCAAGGCTTCAAAAGCTGACTTAAGGTTTAAATTTTCCAGATTCAGGTATCTTTCTGCAAAGTGGAATCTTACTTTCAAATGCTCGTCTCCTTTTGGAAGAAGTATCTAAAAAAACACAAAATTATGCTCCTACATTTCTTCACACCTTTGGAGCATGTGCAATGTTGGGGAAAGAGCAGTTACTTTCTGGTGTTTTCCACATGACAGAAACCAAGGTGGTATTTTAGACAGATGCTGTGGAGCAGGAGAAAAGGCCACAGATTGAGGCTTCCTCTGTTTATCCCTGACCATATAGTTGTAAGTGGACTGCACACATGGAAATGTGCCTTGCCAATGGTGTATCTGCAGCCATTCCTGCCAAGAGTGACTGAAATGAATGACATCCTCCTCCTGATGTACCTAGTGAGTACTGCAGACCTCTGTGTAAGYTGTGGCCAAGGTTGCAGCTCAGCTGAGGTCACTCCATCAGTGCTGGAGGCAGCTCACACAGCAGAGCTGTCCCTCCCTGTGTGCCCATGCTACAAAGAGGCTGGCACAATSACCCTCCTCCTCAGCCTGGGCCTCTGACTCCTGTCACCAGGCCACCATCCTGTCACAGGCTGCTCAGGACTCACCATCACAAGGATTGACAGCCACTGCAGCCGTACTGCCGGCCAAGCATCCGGAGAGGAAGGACACGTAGAACGGAGCCTTGACATTGGGGTCCTTCTGACCAAGCTTGTTCAGGTTTGCAAACAGYGGGAAGTAAACAATGGAGAATGGGACATCCCTGCAGAGGGGCAGGAAAAAAGGGAAGAGAGAACAAGAATGAGCAAAGTCAGTGCGGGACACCAACAAACTGAGCAAAGTAAGGGCTGCGAGCATCACTCGCTGGCAGCACAGCCATGAGTGCAATGCAGATATCCCAGCTCTGTGACTGCAACGCAGACAGGAGCTGAAAATCAGCAGGGCAAAAGTGACTGTATAAAGGGTAACAGGCCCATGGGAGTCACGCAGCCCTGCAGGATCAATGGGCTCCCCCTGTTTTTCAACACTCAAACCAAAGACAGCAGCACATTCAGAGGTCAGTTGTTTTGAGTGCTTTTGYTAAGTACAAGAGGCTCCATCCTGCCCTCCATCCCACAGAGTGTTGTTTTAACTCAGCCTTTGTTAAAGCTAGAGCAGAGTCACTCTGTGAAAGCCCAGGCAAAGAGTGTCAGAGTGGGCTCCAGTTCTTGCATTCAACACGCTCTGTGGGCCAGATACCATTGCACACTCTGGGGTCTCAGGCTGAGAGTTTTACTTTGCTAGCTCACAAGGACTTTTGCACAGTGTAAAAATATAGGCCATGGGGCAGACAAAAACCTTCCACAGAAAGGAGCAGAATCAAATCTTCCAGCAACAAAAAGGCAGTGTCCCTCACTTGTCTGACCTTCCTTTCTTCAATGTGCAAAACCTGTGCATGAAGACCAAACTAAACCAACCCCACACCCGCCGAAGCCAACATCTGTTTTGCAGGCTCATCCTCAGGATGGCCGGTGCCTTAAGTCCAAGACTGGGAACACCAGTGCCCTGTGCCCATCCTACCTTAGCAGCGTGGCTCCCAGGCCCTTGTAGAGTCCGGCGATGCCTTTGCTCCGCAGCAGCTCCCTCGTTATCTGGGTCGCTGTGGTGCGCGTTTCCACCACCGGCTCGGCCGCCGCCGCCGCAGGGGAGGACGAGAGCTGGGCCTGCGCTGCCATCAGCTTCTTCTGTGCCGCTGGGGAGCAGAGCACGGTCTGCAGGGACCCCACAGCCACCCCTGGGGCCCCACAGCTGTCCCCGGGGCCCCACAGATACACCTGGCTGCCCGGTGCCGTGGGACCAGGGGGACACACACCACGCACGCCTCCGGGGCCAACACAACACGCCAGGCAGGTGCCCTGCACGCCTTTTCCCCGTGTGTCCCTCTCCCTCAGGCTGTCCCAGTSTCTGACAGCGCTGCCACACCACAAGGCTTGGGCTGTGCTCTCCCAGCAGCTGGTTTGCCCAGCAGGAGCAGTCTGTCACACACCATCTCTGCAGTGCAGAGCACAGGRGCTGCTGTGAGTAGGCAGGTGACAGTCCCTGCTTCCAGCTGTGTGCCTGACCTGCCAGTACAACAAACTAAAGATCTTCACAAACTAGAAAGCTTCCTAAGCTTTGCCTCCCTCCCCTGAAAGTAATCATTAACCAGGGAAGTTTCTCAGCCACATTCATAAACACATCCTGGTTTCTCACACTTTTCCAACTGATGCACTTCGCCCCTTTGGCCAGAAGATGGAGAGCACTTCAATCTGTAGGTAATCCCCAGCACACCACAGCTCTCCTSCCGCACAGAGAACAGGCTGTTCACGGCATCGAAAACCTCTCCTGAACCCTCAAACCACAGCTTAAATCCTTCCAACATTTTAAAATAATACGCACAAAGAGGATAAGGTCTGCAGTAAAACCAGTGAAGAGAGAAAAGAAAAATAAATCCGTGATTATTCAGGAATGCCACATCAAATGAGAGATTACAGGACAAATTGGCCCATTCTCCAGGAAGGCCATAAACATGGTATCTAACAGTGTCATGCAGGGCTCCTGGGGAGTGATGCCATAGCCCAGACTGACCTCTGGAAAAGACTGAGGAAAGAGCAAGCAACTGTTTCCCCCAGAGTCTCCATGCCAGACTCCTGTCTCCATTCTCACCAGAAACAGTATTTCAGCCAAAAGGCTCACAGTCCCTCCTGCTTCTGCCTGCCAGCTCACGCCCACAGTCTCCAGAGCCTGATCCCAAACCTTGTTCAAATCCAGTGCACTGGGAGAATTTTATTTACTGTTTCAACCAAGACAACTGCTGTTTTTGTCAGGGAGAAAAAAACAGTACAAGGGGAGACAAGCCATTTGGAAAGAACACATCCCCTTGGGAAGCTGTTAGGGAGGTGCTACAGGGGGGGTGGAAGAGAAAGAAAATAGACATCAGAAAACAAGGAGATGGAGGAAGCAGCACAGGAAAGGCACTGGAGGATGCTAATCCCTTCTTGGGTGCACAGTATCCACCAGGTTTCAATCACTCACAAGCTGACCACCCAGGCATCTCTCCCACCTCTCTTCATCCACCAGCAGCATTTGCTGTTTCACTTGTCAAGCCTATTGCTTTGAGAAAAAAAACCCACCACCTTTTGTAACTGCAAGGGCTTTGCAAAGCCAGCTGAGCAAAGTGTGGTGGGGGAGTAATTTGGGAGGAGGAGGAGGAGAAGCTTCTGCCACATCTGCTGTATCTCAGATGTGGGAGAGCAGGGGGAAGGAAAAGGGTTTTCTCCACTCATCCTCTCAATTCCACCTTGAAAGCCCAGTCCCAGCTCTTTCCCCCCTCCCTGCTCAGAGCACAGGGAAGAAAAGCCCACATACCAATGCGTCCTGCATCCTGCAGCTGGATTTTGAGCATCTCCATGGGAGTGGTGACAATCACCTGGCAGGTACCTGCRCCACAGCCTGCCAGCATCTCCTTCAGCAGCGTCAGCTTTTTCCTGCCCAAAGAAAAGCAAGATAAAGTCCATCAGAGGAGGTGGCCTGGAATAACACTTGGGCAGCTGGGTACAAGGCTTGGGGCACATCTCTGACCCTGAGGGCAGCAGAAMTTGCTAGGCCTGACAGTTCAGCACAGCCCAGCCTTGGCATCTCWGCCACCACCACTTGACCTCAAGAACAGACTCATTTTGCCCCCAGGAAGAGAACATTCAGAAAAAGCCACAAGCTCAGTCAGAACAGCCCCAGACAGGAGCAGCAGCCCCCTCYACCCACAGCCAGAACACTGCAGAGCTCTTCCAGCCTGATGGTGCCCCTGGTCAGGGCACAGCTTTCAGAAAGGATATCACTTCAGAGGGCAGCAGAGGACCCRAGCATTAAGGGGGATAAGCAGCTTTCCTCCTGCCAGCCTAGTCCYTTCAAAATTGTCAACAGAGACCACACGACAAGGAGCAAGGGGGAAAAAATATTTCACTTGCTGCTTTGGAGTTCTCTGAGAAAAGCAAATTAAATAAACAGTAAATATGAATCAGGAAGGCTGTTCCTCTGTAGTTAGGAGCCACTTCATCTTGCCGGGTTTTTCAAACCTAAACAAGTAGCCTTTGCAGAAAACTGGTCCTCCCTGAGAGACAAGGGATGGGATGGACCTCTAGCAATGCAGCTCTGTGCATTCTCTGCACTACAGAGCAGGGATCATCATCTTCTCACCTAGCAAAATGCAGCATTTCATTGTTCCCTCTATTCCAAAGCTATGAAAGAGCCCAGCTAAGAGTGAAAAGGGGAACTCAGGATGCAAAACCTCATAAAATTTCCATTTTCAGAAAGTGGTATTTTTACCCTGTAAAAAAACCTCAAGCCTTGGCATCAGAAAACACTGACTTGATTCAAAGGTACATCTGACCTGCTAATTTTCTAAAAGGGTTAAAAAAAGAAGCATGTATAAATCACACAGCCAGAGGGAAACAGCCTCCTCTTTTTTTCTGTTTTAAATGCAAGAACTATTTTTACCTCCCTCAGCCCCGCTCTGCAGCAATATCTCATCTTAACCTGCTCAARGCACATCCCCACACTGTGTCAGAATCAGTCCCACAGTGATACACCCCCTTCCCTTGCAAAGCCCAGGCACACTCCCCTKCCAGGGGTTTTACAGGCACGCACACACAGCACAGCTGTGCTGCAGTGGGCCTGCAAAGCTGTTTCAATGCCAGCCCTACAGGAAAGGGAGGGCAGATGCACCGTAATCCTGCTGGCCCACCACGTCAGCTGGGCTGATTTCTCCACCTCTCATCTTCTCCAGGGAGGATATGAGAGCAGGGGATTAGAGGCACAGAGCCACAACAGGGATTACCAGCAACTAAATATAGAGCTCTCTCATGAGGTTGAAGGAAGGAATATTTCACAGTCTCCCCTTTCCAAATTTCCCCATAGATGAGAAGCTGCAAAGAACAATCCCTCCCATGGAGTTATCCACACGGGTGCTGAAGTGTGCACACTAAGCTTTCCTGCAGGTTTGGGGGAACCAGGGTGTGSAAATCCAGAGGTTCCCACTGCCACTTGGAGGTGGCCAACTCGTGTCTTTTGGGTGACCTGAAGCACAGAACCAGTCTCTGAGTGGCTTGACACAGTCAGCATCAAGGCAGAACAATCCTCAGCCTGGCTGTGGGAAGAAGCAAACCACCCAAAGGAGCTGGCTGCCAGAATCCCTCCTTGGCACAGCAGAGCACCTCCCACTTTAGCAAGAGCCCTGGAGCATCCCCAGAGTGCATATCTTCTGGCTTTCATCCAGGGTGAATACTTTGATAGCCAGTTCAAAAGATCAGGAAGACTGGCCTACATATTCATCTTGGACCATCACCCCAGCCAGCTGAAGCCAGCCTTGACTTCACTGAACTCCATGGAGCAATGCCAGCATGACCCAGGGACRGATTTATGCACGTGGGTGTATTTTAGAGATGTCAAACAGGTACATCAAAAGCATCTAGAACAAAGGCTTTCAGCTTCTGGTTTGCACATCCTGGGAACTGGGGTGAGTCCAAGAAAAAAAGCAGCTCAAGTTAAGCAAATCTTTTGACAGGAGGTTTAAAAGTTGCCACAGAGGGGTCAAACTGCCTTTGCAAAACCTCACCAGTCTGCACAGTAAAAGCAGTGTGAAAACCGTTCATCTCTAGACAACAAAGGGCCTCAAACACTTAAGGCACCACTGGCCTTATCCTCAGTGGTTTAAAAACTGGCACATCTCAACTAACTTCAAAAGCTGCAACACCAGCAAAGATCTGGTCCTACAAATTCAGAAATGATCTTTTATCACAGCAAGAGGGTGTTAAATATAACATATAGCTCCGATTTCTGCACTGGCAGAAATCACTTGTTCCACTTTTTTTAACTGACATACAATTAATTCGTGACAAACCTAAAATGTCGAATGGGAAGGGGAGGAGATTCATACTTGATTTAAATTAGAGTYTCAAACAAGAGCTGAAAAATAAAGTCAGAAGGGAAAAATGAGAGGTTTATGAAGRGCTTTTTGAGAGCAATGAGCTTAAAGTTAGTATCTCTGACAGCATTGGTATATTGATGTCACATGGGAGCAGAGTAGGATTTTTTCAAGATTCTGAAAAATCTTGACCACATGGGAGTTTACTGTGTTTGGGCAGGGACCAGAACCAGCCATTCTGGAATCAGGATGACAACATTTCCAGAGAGGAAACCTCTGACCTAAGGAAATATCCATACAAAGCCATCAATTTCTATTTTCTACCCAAGAGGCTACTGCTCCAGCTTGGACATCACCTTCCTCACTCATAAAATAACCCCTGCCTCTGTCTGTCAGATCAAGAGGTTGTAGAGAACTCCCCAGGAGTTTYGAAGCAGACAGAATCAGTTCCTTTCAAACAATTTAGTAGTGGGTCTTTGATGTGGACAAGAAGATCAGCACACAGGAGTTGTCCTCCTAAATAAAAGAACCCTTCCCAATCAGTTGTCCCTGAATTGGTACAGTGACATTATCAGCTCCATTCTYCTTCTCAAGGAGAAGGGAGAGATTCCCCCACCTCCAAGTCTCAGTGAGCTGGATGAGGGTTACCTACATGGAAGAACTGCCTGAGTATCCAGTGGATGAGTGCAGGAGAGGCTGCCTTGGCACACAAATGCCAAAGAAAGACCAAGCATGGTGTGTGCAGGGTGATACAGCAGCTCAGCACCAGCACTAGCAGCAGCATCCCTTCTTCCTAAATGGAGAGCCTCACTTTACAGCCTAAGGGCATTGTGCAGTTCAAAGACCAGCCAGGCTGTGTAATAGATACTTAAATGCTACAGAAGAGCTGGTCCAAGCATTTTAGGACAGCCTGAAAGAAGAGCAGATGAAGGGAAGAGCCCTGGGGAGATGTATCAGCTGGGAAGGCAATGGAGAACAATCTCCAGCCTCCATATCTAAGACTGAAGGAAAAGTATGTTGCTTGTCCCAGGATTACCAGCTGGCTATTGCTACTCCCTGAGCAAAGATATAAGGCAGGAGAAAGCAAAATGGGAGAAAATGTGCTGGCATCAGCAAAGGCAGAATTAAGTCAGTCATGCTGGTCTTCCTAGGGATCTGAGCTGCTAAGACAGCAGATTGGCAGCCTTTGCCTCAGAACAGCAAACAAAATAAAGGTCAAGATTAAAGAGGACGGGAGAAATAAGGGAATAACACATTGGAGAAGAGCACCAGGAAACTCATCCAGGGACACTGGTAAGTTTTTATGCGCAACAAAYTGCTTATGTAAGAAGGCATGACACACCTTTTTACTGCAGCCAAGGCAGAATATTTAACCAAGAACCTGAAAAATGAACAAAACCTGGCAAATACATACCCAGCAAAGCAACTATCTGGCACCCCACTCTTCTGAGATAAACATGAAACCTTGCAGGACACTGCAAAGGGACTGATTTTATTAAGTGTTTAACATCCAGATTCAAACAGGATATAAAAAACAGACAATATTTAAATCAATCAAAGAGGCCTCACATGCTGAGCACCCAATAATCAATGATGTACTTTAAATGCTGGTGTATTACCAAWCTAAATTGCCTTCTCAGCTTCATACCCAAGTGCTTCATATTCAAGTGCTTCACTTAGCCCTGGTGACTCCTCACATCCTCKGCTCTGGACAATGAAACCTGTACTATTTTAACAGCAGCTGTGGCACTGAGTCTCTCAACACATMCAGMTTCAAAAAGCCAGAGTTTWAAAAAAATCCCRTCTGTTTCCAKCAGCCTGAAGACTGGAAGATTCCCCTCTCTCCACATTCTGCTTTCCCCAGCCTAGTGGAAACTCTTCCTGTCAGAATGACAGAGGAACATGGACCTGCCTGAAGACTTTCTGTGGGTCATCTCCTCAGCGAACTGCTGAGGCTCTCAGGTCAAAATCATCACAAGAAATCGCTTGACTCTTACTGCCTTTTTCAATCATGGTCATGGGATGCCCTTCAGATTTTCCAATATCTTGGTCTCCCTCCTTTCCTCCATGACATAGCAAGCTTGTTTTCAGCATTCACACAACTCACTCAAGGCCTCCCTTGCTCCTTAATGACCAGGACAGCTTCTGAGACCAGCTCAGTTTTGTTTCTCCAGAAAACAAGAAGCTGTAACTGTAGGCTGTCATAATAGCCTTGACATCAAAATAGAAACTGGCAAGAAAATAGAAACTGGCAAAGAAGCAGAAATTACATCTCCCAGCCTGTAAGCACACACGCTGCCTGCACCAAAAGGAGAGAAAAAGCATAGTTTAGGCAGGAGTGCCTCCCTGAGTTAGAACCAGGATGGAGAGAGCTGCAGGAACAGACACCTGCAGATCAGGGAGAGGGCATGGRGTCCCATGTGGGGTGCACCAACAATGGCATGAGGCTCCATGTGAGGACCAGTGCTCTACCTCCAGCAGTGACCAAGAGCAGAGTCAGGGAACAGGGAGTCTAACACAAATCTGTAGTGATAACATCCCTAAAATACTCCTCCAGCAATTTGCAGTCAGAAGCTCCCTACACCACAGGCGCTGTTTTCAGTCTGGCCTTTCAAAAATAGACTTTATGCCACTTTTTCATCCTAGCAGTTTAAAAGCAATTTCAACACTAAGTTTTTYAAAGGATAAAAATAAATACATTCATGTACACTGAAAGTTGTTGTTTAACTTGAGGCTACTTTGAGTCATGCTGGATTTGCCACACTCTCTGGTTCATACATGCTTCTTCCTCTTGCACATGGAGGTCTATTTTAATACCATGTATTTTAATCAGCAAATATTGATRGAACATCTACATTTTATCAGAAAARGATTAGCAACTCAYGCAACATATTYCWAGCAAGRCAAGTGCTAGATGCTTAGCAACAAAGCCACTCAATGTCAAGCAGGTCTAAAAGACTTTTGCAGCTCTGAGTCAGAGTATCCTTTAGGATACTGACCTAAGGGTACAACATGTATGAATGTACACAGTAGATAGACTGGCTTGTGCAAAAAGGACTGTACTGGAGCTGAACCGAGATCTTGCTGACCCAGCCTTACACTGAGCCTAACTCCCTCAGCCGTGCTTTGCCCAGTGTAACACCTTGACTGATGYAATTACACATCAAGAAATGAAACCACATTTGGGTGCCAGGCAGCTCCAGGCTTCCCCTTTCCAGCCCCAGGCTATTTTGTTGTTCATACCTAGGCTCTGAGTGGAGCTGTGAAATAGGTGGGCCAGCCTTGTGATGTGCTAGCAGGTGTACACCCTGTTTTGTCCTTGGTAGGAAAAGCCTTGGAATTCCAGCACTGCTAATCCCGTCTTATTAAGGCAACGGGGGAGGACGGGACAGAAGCATCCCAAGGGAGAAAACTGCCAGATTCCACATTCATATGGGTCTATACCAGCCACAGCCAACCTGCAAGGCATTTTCCTTCCCATTGTACCTTGGGGTGACATTTCTAGGTAGAAACACCTTAAATCATCTACCACAGCAGTACCAAGGCTCTGCCTCTCTGTCCAGCTCATGCTGGCTACCCTCATGAGCAGAGCTGAGCAGATTCACTCTTCCAAGCCCCCATGGTGGCTAAATGAGATGAGTGACCCTGATTCCACATGCTGCCTGGCTCTTGTCTCCTAGCTGTGGCCCACCTCTTTTGTCTGTAAAGGAACTAAAATGTTTTGCGTTCAGACACAAAGCCTCCCACTACCTGAGCAGTGTCATGCTCCTGCTCTAGGTCACTGTAGTGCCAGACCCATCAGTACATAAGATTTAGGAGAACAGGGTATCTTGCTCTTGGAAGAATTCTCTAGCTCCTTTATTCTGAATCAAGTGCAGCATACCATCCATGTCCTTTTGGGACCAGCCAGGAACCAAAAGTCAAACTGGAAAAGKTCTAGTGAAGACCTCAGCTACCCCTGGACACAGCTGCATCCCACTTACCCAAAGATCTGTTCAAAACTGGATTCAGCACTGAAGCAGACACACACACACACTTCGCCTCTGAGGAAGCCTTTACCTCTCAYAGTGCAGGACAGTGACTGACAGGTTAGTGACTGACTGTCCCATTTTGATGGCTGAAACATGACAGCAGGGATTGCTGTCACAGAAAGCCAGTTATGTTGCAATGCTAGTGTGATTTCTTGCATGGAGCCATTCCCTTAKAGGCAGTACAAGGTGGGGCAGCTCAGCACTCTGTTTGGCCTGTACAAGCTAYTAAGCCCCCACTTTGTAGGTGGTGGCAAAGAGCTGTGCTGGTGTTCACTGCAGCATGCCAAGGTGTGCCGGGCCACTGCTGCAGGGATGAGACACACCATTTGGGAGAGGACAGCACTACCTCCCACTGTCTGAGCAGAGCACAGAAGAGACACTATTTGAAGACCTGAGTCTGAAAATCACGAAGAGCTGCGAGCCGGTGAGTCACGCAGACATATGTTAGCTCCTACTTTAAAGGACTCCAAAACAAAAGAAAAAAAAAAAAAAGGCACAGGGAATAAAATGGCTTCTCAATCTGTGTCAGTCCACAATCTCCACTGAAGTTGTTAAGTCACTGATCTGGAGCAGCCAAGACTGACATGATATGTGTCGGGAAGTTGTTAAGTTCAGTAATTTTGTTAAGTTCAGTAATTTTAATTGTGCTGGAGCTTTGCATTTTCAGTGAGGCCCCACCCCTTAACTGCTGATGGGAAGAGCTGGGCTCATGCCCCTAACAGGCTGTCATTTGAGCTACTGTCACTGAGAACTGCAGACAATGCCCTTGTCTGTCTCTGGGAAAGGCCTCTCTCTGCTGGGAGACACAACTACGGCCCATGCAATTTGGAAAACATCTTGGTGAAAGCAGCATTAAATATTCAGGGTCCAGCTCCTCTCAACTGCTTCAGCTTGGGCCTTTTGAACCAAACTCCACTTGCAAGCTGAACCAGTAAATGCATTCCTTCATCATTTATTTGCAGGTCATCTGCTGGGTAACGCTGCAAGTGCCCTTTGTCAGTTCAGATTTACCACCTCTCTAAAACTATTCTCAAGATACAAAAGGAGAAGAGGGATGCTAAGTTTGGAGTTTACAGAACTTGACTTACATCTTTTCGAGCCAGAAGGAGCATAAAGAGCATCCAATGGGACGCTGAGGACAAGAGTCCTCCCAGCAGCTGTTTGAGCAATGATCAGTGACATTGGGTTCCTCTCAAATACTTAGACTACACATTCTGGATCTGCTAACCTTGGCTTAAATCTGGGACTATTTTTAGAAGCTTGAATAAAGAGCAGTCATCCAGTGGAGTGCTTCAAGCTTCCCATTTTAGACATTGCATCCTTAGCGTGAACGTAATCACCAGCTGAGCTGTCAAGGTCAACTCGTGTTTCAGTCATTGCACTATCCCATTCCACCTTTTCCTGACCTCTCACCAGACCAGTGTTCCAAGAGGCGGTGTCTTTTAAGTTGCCTGCAGAAGGTCAATTCCCTACTCACCCGTCTTTGGAGAGGTGATGCCGGAAGAAGTCATTGGCTGCAAGTTTGATAGCCTTTTCTGGTGTCACCAGAGTCAGGTTCACTGCAGCCCCTGGGCAAAGAAAAGAGAAAAAGGCCATTGAATAATGAGAATAAAAGAATTATCAACTGGATCTTTCAGGAATGTGGAGTAACTTCTGCTCAAAACCAAGGACAGATACAGGACAGCTCCCAGTGCATCAAAGGAACTTAGAAATACAAAACACCACTGAAAATTAACAGGATTTCTGCCTCCCAACACCTTGGATTTGTGAAAACATCCTCAGATGTGTTTCTACTCCATTTGCCATATATATTTTGTAATTTCTTCAGCTTCACTACTACCTCCCACCATGTATACTGCATCTTCATCTCTCATCCAAGGATACACTCCTATGAATTCAGAAGGTGCAGATCAAACCTTCAGCAAAGGAGCACAAGCTGGCTCAACAACCAGCCTAAACTCCTTTGTAAATATTTTGTGATACTGAGAAGCTAAAGACCCCCTGCCCTGTCTTCTCACTGGCATCCCTTCCGTGCTTCCTCCTCAAAAAACACCAGAGCAGCTGGATTGCCAGGCAGYCCACAAAAGGCAGAGCCATAGAAACACCTGGAGACTGGCTGAATTCACCTGGCTCATCTGCACAGAACCAGCTCCACAGCAGCCCTGGCAGCAAAGTGGCTTCCCCTGTGTATCACCACTGGGTGTCACCCCCAGAACAGCCACAGTGARGTGGCTTTTTGCCCACCACGAGCTKCAGCACACGGAAATTCCCCTTTGAGCTCCATGGCAAAGCTTGCTGGGGGACCTGGGGTGTAAACAAGCCTTGGCTCCCCGCATCCCCCACCCGCTGGAGTGCCCTTTTGTCAGGAGCAACAAACAGCAAATCCCTGTATTGTGCCTGTCACAATGAAAGGTCTGCATGCCCTGGCTGGCTGCTGTGGGCTGTCAACACCAGCATTAGGGCAACACAGTGGCTGGGAGCAGCTTTCAAGCTGCCCTGGGGAAAACGGAGTGAGGAAAGGGCCAGTCCCTTCCCACCAGAGTGGGGCTTGCACCACCCTTTAAACCTCAGGGCTCAAAAAGTCCTCCAGTGGATAACCTTAAGCTCTCTCTGCCTGCACTGAAGCATACCGAGCTCCAGGCCCCACACTCGAGACTCGTTAATGGCCTAGGAACACCTTTGTAATTTATGCTCATGTTTGAGATTTACACAATTTGCCCCAAAGATTCATTTTCCAAAGAGAAGCAGTCAGAGAAGCCTGCACCCACACTAGGCTCCAAAGACCTGGTGGGGCTCATTTTCAGGACCTTTGAACACCAGTTGACAGGAGCTATAAGGGCTCAACACAACTACAAAGAGTCAGCTCAATCGTCCATTCTTCAGGACAGACTTTCCTCCCTTCAAAAATTGAAAGACAGAGGTTTCGGGGGACTTTCCTCAGATTAGGAAACTAAGTCACAACTGGGACTTTTGGGACCAGGACAAAGGAATCCGTGGCTCCACATCCTCAGCTCAGAAGACTCATCTCCACCATTCAGGAAATTGCAGCAAGGAAAGAGACAGCTTCTGATGCACAGAGCTGGGCAGCCCAACRCATCTTCCTCCCGTGTTCAAATTTTGCACAGAATACAGAGTAACGCTGCCTCGTAGCAAGCCAAGCCAATGCATTCATTCCACACTGGCCATGACATCCAACAAAATGCCATCATCTTTTACAGGAGACAAATTAACTAGCAGGGAGCAGGGCAGGCCCCTCACACTTCTGCTTCTTTGCAAACTTTTAGGTGCACCAGTGATTGCGCTGTTTCCACTTGATATTCTTCCTATATATCACACCCCACCATGGCTCTTGCACACAATGAGAAGCCACACAGAGATGACCCTCATGATCTACATCCATCCTTTAATGCCAATCACATCAGGATCTACAAAGCAAATCCACACCGCCTAATTTGTAAGTGGAAGTGACAACCCATCAAGTGTTTCCTCAAATGCCAGGTTGAAGACAACTTCAATGAGACTCCCAGTGGCTATGAAGTACAMCACCTGTACACTGACACGCAGCATAAATATCCCTTTCCTTGGAAAAACAAGGAGAGAAAGAAAAAAGCACTCTTAACATCAGCGCGAAGGGTTCACTGAAAGAAAGCAAACTCCAAGCTATGAAGGAAGAAGGGTACACAAAAAATACACTTCCACATGCTGACCTCCTCCAGGAACCAAGAGGCTTTCACAAAAGTTTTTCTTCAATTGCAAATAAAGCAGAGGATAAAAACATGCAATATACCGGAAAAAAGTTAATGAACCTGGGTTTTTTCCTATATCTTTGATATTTTYGGTAAAGCTTCTTAGCAGAGAATGGATAATCCCTGTCCTGAATAATCCATAACAGCTTCAATTTACTGGAGAAGGAGAAATCAGATACTTCAGCTGCTGGCTGTATGCTTTCCACTGCATTTTCTTCTTTTTGTAAGGTGTCTTCAGTTCTCCCCATGCCAATGAGTACTTCCTAATTAAAGCCAACTTTGGCATATTGGCAATGCTACATGTACCAGAAGCAAAGACAGACAAACAGAATGGAAAAATAAAAAGCAGTCATTTAAAAACAAAACGTTTTGAAAAGAAGCAAGGGAGCACTACAAAGAACAAAATCAAMCAGGGGCAAAAACAGTTGTTTGCCAACTGAACTTGCAGGCACCCTCTTCTCACCAAGCCTTGATTTTTATTAAAACACRTTTCTCACAGAAGCCCTTATACACCACCAGCAACCTACATAAAAGGGGGATTGAGTCATCCCCAGCAYGGCACTGGGAGATATTATTAGCAGAGGCCAGGGAAGACTGCCACAGTACTGCAGCTGAAGCACAGCTACCCTCCAAACGTCATCAACAGCACAGGACACTTTGCTCAGCCTGATTCAGGCCTTTGGCTCCTGCCAGCTCAGCTACCACTCRGTCTGCAAACAGCACTGGGATGGCTCAGAACACGTGCTGGCATCTTTAGGTGGCTTCTGGCTGGACTGCAGTAGCAGCTGAGAGAGCATCTCTCCAAGGGCCCCTACCACTGATGCCCACAGCAATCAGCCCACAGGCTCTATGGATTCATTCCCTTGGCATCGTGTTTGAAGGCAGCGCACAGTCAATTCCTTGTGCACACACAGAGCTAGACAGCGTCCAGCTTTGAGGCACTGCCTGCTACAGATGGGAAAAAACATGAGCAAACTCCTCTTCTTCATGCCCCAAACATCCAAGAATCCYTGTAGCTTTTGGGGAAGAATTTGAGAAAAATGTTGGGATTACCTTACAGATCCCACAGTTCACTATGGGCTACTCACACAAAGCAAAGACTGTTTGCCCACACAAACACCTTAAGGGGTGAATTGCAGAGAAGCATCCTGCAAGCGCTGGCCACTCTCCTGTCTGCACTGAGGAGATTTGATTCACATGTGAAGGAGCCCTGAAGTCATGCAGCAGGAATGGCTGTGCCCAAACAGACCCTTTCTGTCCTCYGACAGAGGCTAAAGGATCTGCAGGGACAACTGATGTGCTTGTGACTCCTCCAAGGGGAGCAGCAGCTGCTACATTAGCACATTAACATATAATCCTCCCAATTTCAGCTTAAAGGCTGCAAATAGGAGCTTGTGAGTCATTCAGCAAATTCTGCTGGGGATCTAGGACAGCTGGAGGGAGCAGGAACCAATCCCACCACCTCATTTCCATCCTTCAGTGTCTGCAAGCCTTAGATGTCTCTTTGCCTTCTTTCCAGAGAAAGACTTCTTTCCACATGATCTTCATGGACCTTGGATGTATTTAACCCAGCAACCCTGTCCCTGAGAGGGGAGAAAGGGCTGCTGATGCCAGCTTGCAGAACTGAGGCACAGAGACCAGAACTGCTGCAKGTGGAGCACTCACCTTTGCACCTGGCCATGCTGAAGCATCTGTAATTTTCTGGAAGCAGCTGRAGCTATTCAAAAAAGACCTCGCCAACCCAGCTCCCTATTTAATAGTCAGAGGTGACAAGTAAATCCAAGCCACTATCAGCACCCTGAACAGAGGCAGGGACATGGACCAAGCTGACCAGACTTGGAAAAGGTTGGGAAAAGAAAGAGGTATGCAAAACCCTCTGAACCTTTTGAGATTTCTGCTTGGGAGTGTCAAGTGCCATGGAGACACACATCCTCTCCACCACCCTATGTCTTAAAGGACTAAGCTGCCTCTCCCAAAAGCCCTGATTCTCCCAAAAACCCTGAGTGCTACAGTCTCCCCTGAAAATTTTCTCAAACAGCTTCTTCCTCCTGCCCCTCCCCAAAGCAGCCTGCCACTGCATATTTACAGCCAAGCTCRAATTCCTGGCTAGGAACACAGAAGAAGCCAGCTTCTGGAAAAAATCAAAGGGAACGCGTCACTGCTAGCATTGAAGATGGAGCTTGCCAGGGTTCCTCGAGGTTATTTGTCTTGTTGCCTGCTCCCAGGAAAGCTGATGCAAAGCAGCCAATCCATCCCTGCCATCCACCACACTCCCCTGAAACGCCCACCGGGAAGTTGGGCAAGAGACACTGCCTGAACACGAAGTGCCTGCTCCCAGGCTGGCCCAATGCTTATGTTTCCCTAGGAGAAAGGAAGAAGCAGCAAGAAACACTACACGTCAAGAGCAAGGCACCAGCATCTCCAGACTTCAGCTTGAAAAAAACAAAGAGCAAGGACTCAATCATAGCAGCWCTTGAATCAGGCTTTATCAGTGACTGAGTGCCACCAAGAATGCTATCTGAACACCCCAGATAAAAACTGCATATGCAGGCAAGTGACTATCAGGACATAAAATGAACCAGAGCTCAGTGTGTTCCCAGTCCTCAACTAAGCCAGTTGCACTGTGCTGAAAGCCAAGTAGGTACTCCACATTTTTCTCTGCCTAAAGTAAAGTCAGGATTTGGCCTGCTGGTCTCCTATCCTCAAAATCTTTACAAACTTTCAGAGATTTGGTGTTTAAACTAGAAAAGGTATAATGTCAGCTGAGGAACTCACTGCTGTAACAGGCAGCCCAAGCCAAGCAGACAAGACATTTCTAGCAGGTCAGCACACAAGAACCAAACAGCTAAAGCTCCACCCTGAACCAATCTCTGATTTTCTTACAATTCCATGGGAGTTTTTTTCTGGGAGCAGGTTATTTTTAATTTTTTTTTTTTTTAACTGCAGCTTGTCTTAATGCTTGAACAAGGCACTTGGGCATGCTTGAGAGAAAGCAGGCCTGACCACATTGGGGGAGGGCTTTTACATAAATTCAGTCACGAACAACAGAACTTCAAGAGTTGGTTTGCTACTGCCCCTCTGTCAAGAGTTACTGTGCCCAAGCTGGGAAACATAACATACAGTCCTGAAACAAAGTCCAGCTGCCTAAATTAAACTGCTAGTGAAGATGAACTTCAGTCAGTTTAACATCAGTCATGAGGAGGACTCAAGGCCTCAGTTATAAATATCTGCATAATCACCTGCATGGAGGAGTTTATTTTCAGAAACAGCTGCACTGTTCAACCTCTTAGGATATTGCCAGGTAATTTCTTTTTATGCCAGAGAACAGAGCTCTTCCTCCTACTTACGCACCAGTGCTTCCAACGCAAAAGCTGTGCTGTGCCTGAGTCAGCTGTACTCACCTCTGTACATGCCAAAGTAGCCTTCCGACCGGATTGTTTTAATGAGGCAGTCAGACCTGCAAACAAAACAGAGGGAGATGAACCACAGGACCTCAAAGATGGGTTAGTGCAGGGAAAAACAAAGCAAATTTCTTGGAGTGGTTTCCGTTTCCATTCTGTCAGCAAAACCCTGGGCTGAGATGGGAACTGCGTCAGGCTCTGAATGTGCCATTGTTGAGGCCTGAGTCCGATTTCAACCCTAAATGCACAGRGGTTTTTACACCCCCGGCTCACCCGGGGTCTGCACGCGCTGTCTGCTTTCTAGAAACACAAAAGGGACAAGTGCCACTGCCAGGGCTGTYCATCCAGGGTCGCCTGTGGCAAATGCACACGAGATGCTCTAACAAGCAGATCTCCATTGCATGCATTTTTAAATCCAGCTCTGGAATGGAAGTAAGGGGGGCCAAAACCCCCCCATGCTGACTTGTTTGACTTACTCTGTGAAATTCRACACAAGGCACACAAACACGAGATGACCTGAACACTCAGTCATCTGGCCTCCCACGCAGATTAAAGCACTTACTTTTAACACATGAGGTCCCACAGCAGGCAGTGAGCGCTCAGGCTGTGGCCTTGAGGAGAGCACGGCAGGGTGCTGTGCACCAAGGGGAGAACTGTCACTTTCCTCATTCCAAACACATTTACTACAAATGGGAAAACCATGCAGAGCACTGGAATGGCTCAAAGGCTTTTGAAGGCACAGACACACACACCCAGCAAATCCAAAGGCACAGTTCAGGAAGGCAGCACAGATTCCCTGGCAGAGTTTYCCTCTCTGGACCACAGCTGCATGAAGCCTGGATGCTGGCTGAAGGTGGCTTTAGGGTCTTTATGAAGGGACAGCTACTTGTTGTGGCCATAAGGAAAGGGAGAGATGCACATGCATGTATGTGCACATAATTTAAAGAACAAAAGGCTCTTTTAAGCAGTAATAAGGGGAGTGTGGCAAATGAAAACCAGAATATATTTTAAAAGATTTGGCAACACAAGGAATAAACTTCTCAGCTCTGCAGTAGTGCTGAGGTGAAAGAGAAGAAAATACAGAGCTCTCTCGAGGGCCTTATGCCACTACCTGGGTCAAGACTGTTCTAGGGTTATTTGTGAAGAGCCCATCCTGCACTGCTGCCAGTCATGGCAATGAGTTTCCCCTCCCTGCTGGGACTCCCTGCATCCTTTGGGATCTCATCTTTCAAACACTCTACTCCAGCCCTTGCAACTTGCACATACTCATCTCYCTCTCTGAAGCAGTCCCTCCAACACATTTGCAAGCCCCAGAAATCTCAGTGCACCTTTCTCCTATCCCTCCCATCAAGTTCTTCCACTGCAATTCTGGAAGCAACACATTTTCCCTGAGCCAGTGATACTGCTTTGAACAAGCTGCAGCAGGGAGGGGAGTGAGAAGAGCTGCTCCCCACTATGTTCATAYAGCCCTGCTGCACCAATATAAAGTTTGCATGTCACTTAAAGCCCCTCMAGCTGCAGCAGAACAAGATGCAGCCAAGGTCACATCCAGCTTTCTTCTCTCCCTGGAAAATGGGAGCCAACAGCCAACTAAAACAATACATAACATACCTGGGGCAGCACAGCCAAAAAGCCAAGCTCTCTCCAGCTGTCAGGACTCCTCCAATGTCTTTGTCTTTTTCAACTGAAAGGTTACCCTGATGCCAAAAATCTCTTGAGCCAAGCAGAAGCAAGGCATGCTATCTTAAAGTAAGACAACCAACATTTTAAATGAGCTTTCTGCCTTCCTGGGTACTCAGCAGACACCAGGTAATTGGTGTCATCAGGAAATCTGGTATTGATGTGCTCACGGTACTTCCAGGAAAACAAGCCTTTGTAACTGTGGAGTGTTTCTTAGGAAGGCTCAGCCTTTCCCTTTCTTGGAAGGCTCCAGCTCAAATGTACAGGGTAAATCCTATGTACTGCTTAACAGCCCCTCATCTTGCAGCAATTCCTGGCTATAGAGCAGACTTGCTGGAGGTTAAAAAGCCTCTCTCCTGCTGAGCTCCCTTCCAGGTGTGAGACATCCTGGCATGCAGTCCCAAGAGGAGCCTACAAGCTCTCCATCCTGCCCAAACTCCTGCTGCTGTCACATGTCAGGTCAGGAGGATAAGAAGCAATTTACAGCAGGGGCAGGACACAACAAAAGGGGAGGCAAAACAAGATGGGAGGCCACATCCTGCCAACAAGCCAGGGGACACCAACAGTGCAGGGAGCAGAGAGCATGGGAACTGTCAAGGGAAGCACCAGAGCCTGCACCCTAAGCTTGTGTCAACAGCTGGAGCAAGGAGGCACAGAGACTAAAGCCAWCAACAGACACAGCACTTCCTTCCTATTCCCTCTCTGCTTCGAATTCTCCTGGGCATAAAAGAGGAAAAGATGGTGTGGAGGAGCAGGGAGCAGGTAACACTATTCTAAACAGAGTGACAGGAGGGCCAGACATACCTCACCAGCCCCAGTCCCTTCTTCCCCTCAATACCACCAACGCTTTTGGAAAACTAAGCTCTGTCTTTGGTTCCTAGGATAAAGCATCTCRTACTGAGTGTGGTACACATTCCTACAGCAAATCCACAGCCCCAAGCATCTGGCAAACTCCAGGTGAGAGTTTGGTGTCTGGATATATTCATGCTTTCTTTTCCTACAGCCTGGAGCACCTGGGGTTTTTCTGGACACAGGACTGCTGGGGTAACTACAGCAAGGGTCTACCTATGATCCTTCAAAGGATCTACATGCAACGCTCTAGACTAAGAATGAGTGACTACTTCCTCTTTTTAAAACTCACACAGCAAAGGAAGGATCTCCAATATCAGAGCAATGGAAACAGAAGAGAGGCAGAAATTCCCTCACGCACCTGACTGCAGMTCAGCAGTGTTCAGGATCCCTGTGTTCAGGATCAGGCAATTGGGATTCCTCATGTTTTGGTTATGAGCCCTGGCAGCCATGAACATGCTGCTCCCAAGGAAGGGATGTGAACAGATGTGCCCTGTGCAGAGGACTCCTCTGCCTGGCTCAGCAGCCTCAACAGCTGCTCTGTTTGCTTTATCTGCTCTAGCACARCTCGGTTTGGGACTGTCCTCTGGCTTTCCTGAGCTCCTAGAGACACTGAGCTCACCTGAAAGAGGTAACACAGTGGAAGGACTCCCTGCTGAAAGCCCCCAGGGGTGGTGCCCGTGCAGGTGGTACTCACAGGCTGGTGTACATCCGCTGCCCATTCTGCTGGTTCTGCAGGCGAGTTTTTGCCAGGTCAATGGGAAATACACAGGTGACCCCAATCAGCCCAGCTATCCCTCCATTGATCAGCTTGGCAGGTAAACTGTAAGGGGATGAGACAGAGAAACAGATGTCTTAGCACTGGGTAATATCAGAGAAGGGAAAGAGGAAAGMGCTGAGCTCTTTTGCATAACAAATTAACAACACATCACTGTCCCCCCCCAGCACGAAGGAGGCTCTTCCACACAGCAAAGTTTGGTTCCTGCTGTATATATGGAGAGGCAGAGRAAGCAGCACATTCCATCAGGACAAACCATTGACAAGTGAAATGGAGCCAAACACCTACTCCATGCATTGCTAATAACAGGAAAAAATCCTGCCTAGGACCCAGGGATTTCTGTTGTCCCTAGAGGAGAAAAGACAGAGTGCTGGACCTCTACAAAATGGACAGTGAGGCCCGACAGCATCCAAGCCAGCAGGTTCACAGCCAAACGCTTTCCTGCGCCACGATCAGATCCGCAGCACATCAGCTGCTCCCATGGTGTGGGAGCGATCCCAGGAGCTCCCAGCTGGCAGCCACGGAGCAGACGGCTGCAGCCACRGGAAACTGCTTCCAGACCCACTGCTCAGGGCCAGGGGAACACACACAAAGCAGCAGCCTGGTGAAACCAGCGGGCTGGCAGCCGGCACAGCCGCAGATGCGGAGACGTGAGATCATACCTCTGGGGGAAATCAAAACCTGGCTCGCTGCACGTGCTTCCGAAACACAGGGCTTTGTGTTCCCACTGAGAGTTCTTGCAAGAGGCACAGAGTGAAAGCCACATCAGCTAAACATGGGATCCCAGCAAATTAAATTAAGAAAAATGTCCTGCGCTTACATGCTCAATAAAGCGCTACACGCAGAGACAAAGAAAGCCTGTTTGAGTCAGCTCCCTCCAATGAAGCACAGGATACGGCTCCCTGAGCACAGGACGTGTCAGATATTAAACTGGTGGCTGACAGCAGCTGGGTGAGCCAGCAAGGCCTGTCCTCCCATYGGGGGAACAGGTACACTGCCTTTCATGATGGTGACTTGCTGCTCTGGATGGGGACACACTGCATTTTCCTCTGGAAGCAGAAGTGGTGAGGCACAGAGCGGTGAAGCCCTGTAAACATGCACTCCCAACAGCACTCCTGAGCACTCTGCATCAAGGGRCAGCTGCAGAGAGGATCAATAAGCAGCCATGCTTGAGGAAAAGGCAGAATATGGATGCTCAAGGTTTCAACTTGAAGAGCCCCTGAGAAGCAGACAAAAGAGGGATGGAAAAAATATAGACTTTGTTCACGAGTGCTAAGCATGTCAGCCTCAGGACTGACACACCTTCACACAGCCTCTGTTCTGCAGCCAAAGCTCCTTCCCCCTTAAYACCTGCATGATACAACACACACACAGCTGCAGGACTGGCACAGCTGGAAGAGATGCCACAGACAGGCAGACAGATCTGAGCTCAGCCTACAGCTCCAAACCAGACAGTGCTGATTGAGATTAAATCAGCACAGTTAGGAAGGCAAGCCCACATCAGTGCACAAGCTCAGTGCAAAGCCAGGCTTCCAGATCTCACCAGACTGTTGCCTTGGGGATCTTTGTGCCACAGTCTGAGAAGGGAATAGATTTGCCTGCAAACTCCTACACTCAACTTGTTCTTAGGACATGGGAAAATTTCAAACAGTAAGCTTCACATCATGGTGCTCTCCTTATTTAACCCACAGTMACACTGAAAGGGGAGGTCAGAGACCAGATAAAAGCCTGTCAAGATAGAGACACCATTGGGAAAGAATGTGTTTCAAGACAGGATCAGCTCAGCCTCCCCAAATTCAGCTCTGAATGCACTGTTGGCAGGTCACAGACTGAGCGGCACAAACAGTGCCCCTTTCCAGTGCCTCAGCACTGTCATTGCTTCTCTAAGTGTCCCTGAAACACCTGGACAGGCAAACACTTGCCTTTCTCAATCTGTTCCATCACAGGGTTTATACCAGGTGGGACTGAGACACACACACACACACACACACACACACACACACCAAGATCCTGCCTGCTGCTATTGTAAGTGCAAGAGATTCCCCAATTTCAGCATAGTCCCCAGCAATAAAGGGGAATGGTCTGATGTGCCTGGGCAAGCCAAAAATTTGAGGCTGCAGACAATCTCTCCCTCTGCCTGTGGGGGAGAAATCCTTGCTCAACACCCCCATCACATCTGAATCTAACCATCCAGATTTCCCCATGCACACCGCAGAGGGAAACTAGTATGGAYCACAGGGCAGTATCCAGCAAGGCACTGAGATGGAGTTCCACATGCACTGCTGCAGAAATGCAGTGCCCTTGCTCTCACTTTGCAGCAAGCCACAGCTGTTGATTCCAGTCTTTTGCTATCAATCTTGTTCTAAGAGGTGACAGAAAGAGATTTGGCTGCCTGTGACCACTGCAGACAAATGGTCCCATTGACTGGAGAGATGACCAAAGCAGGAGAGGTGAGGGGTTTGAGGTACAGAAAAGAACACGAGACAAAGGCCRTTGCACCTGAATCAAAAGCTTTTTCCTCTGTGACTGAGTCATCCCACTTCCCACGTCAGGGCTCTCTGTTCTCTCAAGGGGTAAGAATCCACTGTGCCTGGTCTCTCTGTCCTATTTAGCTTCTGCACAGCTAGTGCCTCTCACTACCTACGTGTGCAGGGCTTAATGAAATGGGGACARCACAGGCTAGCATGCAAATCAAGTCATTTGTTCAATACAAGAAGGGATACAAAGGCATCCCAGTTCTCCTCTTCTAGTGCTTCTCCTCAGCCCTTTTAACTAGTCCCTGTAGCCAGCAAGCTCCTGCTCACACTGCCAAGAGCACACTGGAAGGGCCAGGGCACATTCTGCAGGCCTCCTCTTCCTTCAAAATATCAAGTTTCAAACAGTCACAGACGTCTGGTCATTTTGCTTTGCTGAGGCTATCAGGAACAGAGACCTCCCAGGCTCCACGGAGGTGAATCTCAGCATCCCCTTCACGGGTATGTTGGAAGAGTTTCAAGTGCTCTCCAAATTGGGTAGCAGACGATGGGCAAATCTTGGCACACGAACACTCCTCAATGCTGTCTTTTTATCAGCGCAGCTCAGGACTGTTTACATTTGCAGAAGACAGGCATACAGGAAGATATCCTAATCACGGCAAACACTAAGAAGGGGCAGCCCTCATGCCTGCAGCATTCAGGCACTGCCAAGTCCCGTCCCTCTGTCACCAGGCTCCATTCACCCACTCACCCCRCCTGTCCCGAGCCAGTAACCTGGAAAAGTAGAGGTCAGAAATGTTAGATGTCTGTTAGATGACAGATGTCTGTCATGAAGAACCCCACAGRAATCCCACAGCATGTAGGAGTCACTTAGCTGGGGCAACTTCACAAGCAGCAAAAAGTTAAACCCATGTGCAGGACTGTGCAGATCCTCCTGACAGAGCTCTTAGGAAGCAAAGGGTACAACTGTGTCTTTCCAGGAAATGCACCCCCGTTCATTTCCAGGGAATATTCAAACATGGCCTTTACCAGAAAAAATGCTCTTAAATTCCCACTGTGCACATAAGTGTCACTAATCATTGTTGGTACTTCWTGTTCCTGCCATCACTAAGCCTTGACTGTCTCTAGAATAAGGGCACAAGGCTGCACAAGGCTATGTGGACTTTGTCATTACAAGTACTACATCCTTGGCTGCTCAAGGACCTGGCTTTGCTCCCTGAATGCCAGCAGCTGAAGTCAGCAGGTCAGGGTGACCTTTGAAAGAAGAAACAAAAAGGAACGGACTCATGAAGAGCAGAATGAAAAAGGCAATAGAAAAAAAAACAACTGAAGAATGCAGAGATGTGACAACATGGCAGAGACAGAAAATAAGAGAAGATTCAAAAAAAAAAGCAGGTAAGAAAGGAGAAGAGTCAGAACTGTTAAAGGCTAGAAGAGATGATCAGGTGATTTCCTCCAACCTCCTGGATCACAAACAGAAGCAAGTTTGAAAGACTCTAAAAGAAAAATGTAAAGTACAATTAAAAAAAAAATTAAGAAGTTACCTGATCTGTTTATCAGCCATTTAATTCAAACTTGATCTTGTTGGGAAATGAATCTGTTCCTTCAAATCGTTCTTTTTCAGTCACTTCACTTCAGTTTCTTCCTGGGAAAGGACRGAAAGACACCATGAACAGAAAGTTGAGACACTTACACTTTTCTTAGAGCTCAGATGCCACTTGGCAGGCAGACTGCAGGGTTAGGACAGCTGAGGCACAAGTGACTCAAGGGAGCACCTGATCTCAAAGAGRAGACTGAGCTCCAGAGGGAGCCTTATAAATGTGTGTGTGGGCGTACACAAATATACAAGGACATATGGAGGGAAGAGCTGCCAGAGCCGTCAGATTCTCGCAGCATGTGAGGAAGGGTAGCAGCCAGGCAGGACACAGGCTCTGCCCAGCATCCAGGACAGCAGTGTCTGTCACTTGTCTCGAACTTCAGGGGGTATTTCACACCATACCAAGCGGATCCCCCACCCTCTGCAGGTCCACCCAGCCACCCTAAGACAATCACATGTCATCACAAGGCTTTTAGCACTTCCCTCCAACACATACCTGCTGTGTCTAAAGAACAGCCTTCAAAAAACTACTCTTCCAAAGGTTAGTATCCTTCCTCTATTTCCAAGCTTAAATAGTCAGCCCCTGTTCAGTCGTGTGCCCACACTATCTTTTAAGCAATGCCTCTCCCTCCCCAARCTATTGATGCCCCTTTGTCCTTTGGACCACTCCTTTCAGCTCAGTGCCAGACAGCAGGAAACAGTTCTCTCTAAGACTCCTAATTGTTAGGATTGTTTAATCCTAATTGTTTAATGAGAGCTGGTACAAGTCGCCACACAAAGAAATCTGGGCACAAGAGAAAATTTCAGAAGTGGCCACAACTTTCAGTTTTCTGGAGATGTCATCACTTCCTCACCTCCGGCCTGGGAATGAGATACCCTATGCTTTATGCAGTATTCAGCAGGCTTCCTCCCTCTTCCYTTCCACCTTCCACCTGGATGCTGAGCCAGAAGCAAAGGAGGTACCTTTGCCCTTTGCCTCTGGAATGAAATTTGCTCCTTAATTGCAGATTTCCCAAGCCACACCGAATCTCACATCCAACAGGGTGCCTTACAGGCCAACACCCACTCTGGAGACACCTATGAGCCTCAGTGTATTCCTGAGAATAAAAGGTCCCTGAAAGTGTGAAGAGCTAGTGATGGTGCAAACAGGATTGAGAATGAGTTCAGGTCYGCCTCCTTTTATATCAAGTGCCAGGGACAGGACAGCATGAAACCATTTGCACAGACCCACTCTTGAACAACATGAGGCTGAAATTGCCTTTTCTGCAGTCCCACATTCAACTGAAGCTGTGAGAGACCAGCACATGAAGCTCCCTAAGGAAAGGGACTCCTCTTCAAAACACTGCATGCAAACCTCACCCACTGCACCGTGCTGTTGTACCTTCTGTGACCCCTCTTCAGGCACTTTACCTGATCTCAACTGATCTGTGCCTGCAGACCTTAAAAAGCTCTGGATCGGCTAAGTCTGCACTTTCCAAGAGAAAATCATTTACACCCCTCATTACATGTGCTTTCATACGCATGTCCACAAGAGCAGTTTGGTTTAGGCTAATCTAATTTTCTATCTAATTAACCAGAGTGAGTATAGGAAGACCACTAGTGGAAAGGCTGTAACCCTGACATAAACAAGCCGTGAACCATGAAAACTCACTTGATAATGTCTACACCCTCAATAAACTTGTGTTTATTGAGTCAGCTCTGACAAAATACATGCACCGAGCAGTGCTGATAGCCTGCTCCAGCAAAATTCTTCCCTTGCTGCCTCTGCTGCACTCTTCCATGAAGAGGGGCATTCAGGAGGGCAGGCACCCATCACAAAGGGCAGCAGCAAGAAAAGACAGCCAGGATGCGAATATTCAYCACAGCCAAGGAGCCAAAAGAGTGAGACCAATTAACCAGAGTGAACATAGGAAGACACACAAATGATACACAAATACATGACAGGGCTGTTTCTTACCTGCTGACACAAGTAGGGCGATGGAATCCCTCTGCATTGAGAAGGACTTGGGACAGCTGAGTTTAGCTCTCTCTCCCCTTTTTCCTTGTGCCTACTGGCTTCAGTCTCCACCTGCCCAGTAACCACAGAGCCCTCYCCAGCTGGCTGATCCGCCTGGAAAACTGCTGCTGCTTCCCAACCAGGGAACAGATGCTCCTGCTGCAGCTACACAGCAAGATAGGGTAAAAACAACCTTCCTGGGTTTAAAACTGGGCAAAGTTACAGGTTTCCTTGGTGCTGGCTGTASAGCCAGCAAATACCAGGACTAGTATCATCTCTCCTAACAAAAGCCACTCAACTCGCGGACGAGCGACGGGAAGCGAACAATGTGATCATTTTACAGCAGACACCAGCACTTGATAACTGTTTAAACAGCACCTGGCACAGCAGAGGCCTGAATKTCTCTGGCCAGGGGATTTTAATGAATTAAGGGATTTTAATGCACTGAAGTGGAAAGCTTATTTGAGCTCTGTTTGTTTAGACAGAGCTCCAATGAACGACCATTTGCAAAACAAACCCAAAGTCACAGCAAACTCCATCTGACTACTTTGCTGTAATCTGCAGAACTCCCTGAGTCCCTTAGAAGAGGGTGAATGATGGCAGAGTCAGACCCCAGTTGCTTTCAGGTAGCTGCTACTGTTCTGCARTCTAAAGGGGGAAAAACACGCTGGGAAGAGAATGCCAGGAATTTTATAGGACAGTCAAAAAAACAAACCCAAAACAACATTACACATTTAACCTAGAAAGGAAAGAGATTAAGTAAAGACCTAAGTATATCTTCCCAGGAACACAGTGCTCTCAGGAGCCAAAAACTGCACATAAAAACAGGCAAGCATCTGCAGCCAAGCAGGGTGCAGCTCCAAGGGTTCCTGTGGCAACAGTGTCAGGGAGCAGAGCTTGCATCTTCCTAGAAAATCTCCCATCAGCACCTGAACTGGGGCAGCAGACAAGCCAGCAGCACAAAAAGGTGCTGATGCCTCAGCAAGTCTTTGTATTTTTCAGGAAAACAAGGGAACTGCAGGAACTGGGAACCTGCAAAAGGAGCTGAAAAGCTGGGAGGAAGCCAATAGTGGGTGGGTGGGTGAAACAAGAATCACCAGAGACCCACCTGAAAGCCAAAGGGGCTGAGCAGCCCTCATGGAAGGGGATCCTAAAYTGAACATCCCATAATTAAAAGAGCGAGAGCAGCATGGGAGTATTTTCTTCTTAGAGTGCTGTTAACACAGCCAGGCATGGATTAATGCCCCATTACTTGCACACCAGGACATCCCTTTTACATTTATTAAAATGATCAGGCAAATTAGTTTCAGAGCCACACGCACACCGAAGCGATGTGAATGGCCCAAAGCTCATGCTGACACAYGTAAACAGCCCAGGAGACTCCTCATTCCAGCCTTTCCCTTCCCTCACCTCCCAAAAATCAGCCCCAGACAGTGACAGAGCAGCCAGATCAGAGGTRCCACAATGCAGTCTTGGCCAGTTTTGGATGCATCTGGTCCTCACAGCCTAAGCCACTGGCAAARTGGTGCTATTTTTGTCCCCTGCCTTGCCACACATCTCCCACATAACCCACAAAGTGAGGCTTTCTCCAGGAAGGCCAACCTTTGTATCTGCTCTCCTGATCAGCCCGGGGCACGGGGCTGAACTCTCAACCTTCACTTATCAGCTGAAGGAAAAGAGCTTCCTAGAGACTCACAGCGTGGAGCGTGGAGGGGAGAACACAGACCTCATCATGTCTCATTAATGTGTCACACGAACAAGCTTGGATCAGAGATACGGGCACCCAACATCTCCACAAGCCAAGACACCACAGGAGAAGAAACAGGTTAAACTCACCCATACCTCTCCAACCTTGCTCACTGCATTTAGAGCCACCACACCGCCCTATAGATAGGGGTTCTCACCTCTAGCCCCAGATGCCACCGTTCTACTCCCAGTTTGAGCTGGGTGCAGCACCCTCCTYCTCCTGCTCTTCCCCTGTCAGGCTGCCAGAGCCACAGCTGGTATCCTCCAAGCCAGCTGTGGGCTCCCAGTGGCCCAGCTCTCCCAGTCCTGCCAGCAGCATCCCCCACCCCTCCCAAGAGGCCAGCTCTTCACTCTGCCCTCTGCCAGCACCCCCATTTCCAGATCCCCTCCCCAGCAGCCCCAGCGCAGCCRAGCACATCCTCTCCTCCACTCCTGTACATGCCAGGTTATCTGAGCACCCACATGCTGCCAGTTTGACAGAAAACCTTTAGCAAATGTCAGCTGGTGCTGTGGCCGAAGAAAGCAAACCCCTACACCCAAACGTGTGCCCATCCCTGATTTCATGCCAGCATAAACATTTGTGCTGAGCAGTCAAGCAGGAATGAGACAGAACTCGAGGCCAGCACATGCTGGAGCTGTCACTGAAAGCCAACTTCCAAACTACAACCTTGACTTAAAAATAAACAGCAGAAGGGAAAGTCAGGACTCCCTTCCATGTATTTCCATTTGTCTCAAAGCCCCAGCGAGAGAAGCTGATGTCAAGAAGCAGGGCTCACAGGGTGAGTAGGAGAAGCAAAGCTGTGCTAAAGGACACAGCCATGCAACCATTCACAGTCAGAGATGGCAGAGGGAAGCAATCAGCAACGAGTACCTGCTGGGACAGGAGAAACTCTCTGGGATCACCACAACTTCCCTTCACAGCACAAAAGCATCTGAAGACRCAGACAACTGCCAAATTTTGTTAATGATTGGAGAAAAGCTGCCATCACAACGATAAGGTTTAAGGAGTACAAAATGAAACTGCAAATATTTCCTGAGAGAAGCTGCTTTCTAGATGCGTGACAGGCACAATGTGCACAAGGGAGCTGGCACTGGCTAATGTCACCTGAGCAGAAGCTGTCAACTTGGCTCTTGCCTGCTCAGGACATTTTGGGACAGAGGGGTTGCAGGAAATTGGTGGCGGTTTAATCTGCTGCTTGTTTGCCTTTAGMCCCTTGAAAGCAGGGACTGCCATGAATTTCCTTGCAGGACCTGGCAAGGCATTAATCCCCAACAAAACAAAGCAGCTCTCAAACATACTAGTGAA